TTAACATATAATTGTACTAATAGTTTTTTCTCCTGGCACATTTATGACCAAGTATGGAAACATAATGTTTGTTATATATTGTGTATATCTGATGTTCTTTAACTCATTGTTACAATTATATGAAAACTGTTAATTGTACTGGAATCAATAAACTTCTTGATTGAACTTTTGGATTTTATTACTATGATTTAATACAAATTCCAGTACCTCTGAGTTATATGACTTGAATCTTGCATGAACTGCACAATACTTTGCTTTGGACAAAACATTTAGTACTGGATTATGGAACATAAAGTATGTTCTTTTACACTAACTTGGACTCTAGAGATCAGACTTGATTCTTCCATGACTATATACTCATTTCAATAGCGTGCAGATTCTGAACGGGGTGTTGATCCTTATTGTTCATTTACTTGTGTTTTTCTATTATATATGACTGACATTTATCTAACTATGATCTTCTACTTTAAAAGTTTTGCATTTATTGTTACCATGTTTGTTACTGTAGACGGCTGGTCAATTCCTGTCTTAACTATTCTGGAAAATCTTAATATAACAACTTCAGATATATTTTTTCAACTTATGCAATATATCCAAATAACTCTGTATATTGTACAAATGTAAACTTTGAAATTTGACTTTGACAATTAATGCCCGTGGCCCCGACCTAAGGTTGTGGCCAGTAGATAGTAAATGGTTTTACCTCTGAGCAATATATTCCGTTTGTTGCCTTTAGGCTAACTTAGGTCGGAAGTTGCTCAGTAGGTCAGTGTAGTATATGATGTGAAGTTGTCCTAAGCTAAGGTAGTAATAAAATTCAACCCAGAAAATTTCGTTCTCATATAATATGAAATTAGGAGAAAGACAAGACAAGAAAGCACTGGCAACGACGAAATAAGAATACAATAAACTGAAAATAAACAAAGAAAATAAGAAACATAAGCAACCGAGAATAAGAAAATGTATATATAATATAGATTTGTATGCACTATCAAATATGATTGTATATTATATGCGCATTAAGTAACAGTATAATGCGTGTGCATTAACTATGTCTCTAGAGAAAAATGAGAGATATACTTATATTACAAGTTACCTTTACCAGTATTTGATACGAATATTCAGTCAAATACATTTGAATGATGAAATGCGATATAGTCAAATTAGAAGAAAAGCAGGGTGGGAAAAGTAGTAAAACGCTTTAAAGGGCACTAGAGAAATTAGTGTGCAATATTTAAAAGCGTAAGCAGCTGAGAAGAAAGAAAAGTACACTTAATACAAGTATGCACGTGGCAAACAAAAGTGATTGTTATATTACGTGTGCAGTGCATAATGCGCATACATTTAATTTCGCCCACCAGCGGCCGGGCGGTAACGTCGCTGAACACTGGTAGTTCGGTCCGAGGTTTGAATCCCGCGAACGGGCTCGCTGCATGGGTGTTTTCGTGGTTTTCCCCATGCGTAACGTGTATACGAGCCAGTTTCCCTTAAAACGTCTTCTACGAAGGCATCCTTCCCTTAAGGCAGATAGCCCTCGAGTGCTTTGCCGTCATCTAATAAACCAAACCAAACCATTTAATTTCTTCGCTAAAAACCAACGAAATATACATTTATATTACTTGTCATTTTCATTCTCATATTTGGCAAGAATATTCATTCAGATGTATTCCAATTAGTTGCTTAATTTATGGTATAAGTGAAATTTGAAACTGCCTGCGTATGCAGTGTACGATATAGTCAAATTAAGAAAGAAAGAAAGTGAAAGAGTACGATACTCTTTCACCTATCAGAGAAGAAGGAGAGATGTTATTGCCTTAGGTGAATAAGTATGTAATAATAATAAGTATGTAAGATTTCAGAGACAGGTACCCACGTATAATCAAAACTGCTTACATATACTTTGGGCGCATAACTCAAAAGTATTTTGAGAGTCAAGGAAAAAACAAGAAACATATTTATGTTTCCATGTGTGTTTCACCAGCATATTTGGTGGAAATAATCAATTAAGCTGCGAATTTAATTCATATGTGAAGTTCCAGAATGCGAACTTAATTCATATTTAATGTGAAATTTAAATCTATGGGGAATACCTCGTAATACTGGAATTCCTTTATCCAAATTCAAAAACTGCTAATATCCTCACAGATCACACTGCTTGATTTAAGGCACCATAAGTTTAAGAGTACTTCAAAATTATAGAGGACAAAAAGACTTAATAACTTATTATCCTATTAAATCTGCAAATTGTTCTAAGCAAAATGTGAGTCAGTTTAGGCAATATTTAAAGAGTGCTTAATTTCAAAAATAAAGAAATAGATAAAGGGACAGAGGCCTTTAATAAAAATGTAGTTAAGAAAACTGATTATTATTACTGCTATTATTACCTCAGCATATAAATGAAAACAAAGTAAATTACATTTTTTTAAGTAACATTTTAAACTACAAAGAAAAAATAATATTAAACCACCATGCTAAAAGAATGAAAGCTAAAACCATTTTCATAAAATTCCATTTCTTTTCCTGGGACTTTACTTCTGAATATTTCAAGATGAAATTTCATTACACATTCAATATTTCATCCATTTTAATACAGAATGAGTTTATCTCTTTGTCTGAATAAGGCAAAGCTATCTGCATAAGGGCTTTCTTGTAACACTTTCTGAAGAAAACTGCATTTTATTTACTATACCCAAGCAGCCAACTCGTCCGTCAGGATTTGAACAGGGCATGTAGCAAGGTAATAATATTTTTAAATGCAGTCATAAGGCTCTCCTCATGTATATCTTAATTGCTGTTTCCAACACTCTTCCTGTGCTAATTTTTTCTAGTAATATTTTACAGATTCTTTTCAATTTAAAAACATTGTTTACATTAGTAAAGAGACCTTTGTTTCTGTTATTTTCTGCTGTACGTGATGAGTTTCTGCCCCCAAAAATGTTCTGTTTTTAAATTATACATGCAAAAAACGGAGACAGTTAATGTGAACAAACGCTCTGATGAGCATGGAATGAATAATGATTTCTATAAGGAAAGAAAAAGAATAAGCTAAGGCTTCAACAACTCCTGTTTTTAAAAGGTTATTTTTTGAGTTTATATTAAAAAGCTAAATGTGCATGATTAAGAGTTACGCTAGATAAAGGAAATTTATAGAGAATTTCAGATCTTTTGGAAGCAGAAAATGTGAAAAATCAGCTATGTTTTTTTCAGGATTCGAACTTCGGATCCTCCGATTGACATCCAAACGTGCTACCATTTACATACCGTGCACGCACGGGGAGAATGCGACCTTATAAGCCGATTCACATTGCTGCGTTGTATATTATGTAATATTACTTTTAAACTTTCTCACGGCAATGAAAACATACTATTGCAATCCTCAAAGATCATATATTTATCGCATAAAATAATAACTGTTTCTATAATATAAATTGATCTGTGTATTCACATTCGTTTCCAGAATTCAGCTCTATTTGTGATTGTAGCTTACGAAAAATATTCATTAAATAAAAATAACAAATCATGATTAAAGAGGTGTTTTCATGTATAGCTGTTACAATCTTAATTACTTTGCTAAATCACTCTGACCAGTATGCTGATTAGAGGAACCGGCTGTCATAGCGTTGGTTCCCGGTGAGAATTCAGAACTTTTAGGCGCTTGTAACTGTCTATCCCCCTTCCCATACATATAATGTAGTCAACCTCTGTGGTGTACCTTGGGCAACCCTCTGGGTAACCCATGTGTTCAGCCATACCCAGCGAATGTTTAACTAGCAAGTGCACGGCCATTCGGGACAAGTGAAAGGGAAATGCATCATTCATAAATAAGAATGCTGAAATTATTAATAAGAGTGATTCGAAAATTAGTAATTGATAACAGTCTGGATCACAGTCTTCAACGTAATTTTAAAATTATTTCTGACGTTTCATGTTGGCTAAAAACTGATTCATTTTGTACAGAGTATTTTTGATCCTGGCAGATTTTCTGTCTTGACATGTTTACGCAGCTGTCCCATGCAATACTATTTTAGTTCGAAACAGTTGTTTGACTGATATAGGTTCATTTCCCTAGCGCTATTTTTGCAACCGTGGAGTATTTATTTTCTTTCTGTGAAAAGAGAATGGAAAAACTTCGGATATTGTTCAGCGTCTGACAAGAGTATCCTGTTCCTCCATTTGAGAAAAACCTTTAGTGGGCGTTCGATTTTTTGATTGGCGATTTTAACGATGTCATAACTGAGCGGATTGAGGAGACCACGACAGCCTTTTTTGAGAATGACTTAAAAATATTTTTTCGTTGGAACAAGCGTATTTACTCAAATGGAAACTATGCTGAAGCTGCATTATAATATCTGACGAAAACTGAAGAAATAAAAAATATATACCTAAATTCCTAGAGCTTCGAAAGCACCCCTCGCATACTCTGGAAATTTGGAGCCATGAATGAAGAATTCGATAATATATCTTATGTTATTATCAGAATAAGCATTTAGTAATTAATGTGAATTTTTATGTACCCTTTATTCTCTTAATATACGTTAGCTTTGTAATTGTTTTGACTTTCATTTTACAATTCCTTTCATGATTTTGACTTTTTACCCACAGAGATACATATTTCAGTGCAAAGTCATAAATTTCTTATTCATAGCAGTTAGAGAAGTCACACAAATGCTCTTATGAGAGAATGTATTTTAAAGAAGACTTCTAAAGTGCAATGACTCATATTTAAATTACAAGCTAAGAAAACTACTGAGCGCAATGCGAAATCAGAATGATTTTTAAAAGAATTTCTCTTATGACCATAAAAATTTGCTTACCCTAAAAATTCAATAGTATTAAGATTTTAAGGGATCACTTCAATATCATAATTAACATTATTAATAATTCGATTTTTTTTCATAAATTGATGGTATATTTGCTTCAGACATTCAAATATAGCAGTGCATGGCAAAACGTTGTACATTTTACCAGCAAAAATCTTCATCAGTAATAAAATTTCTTACCTCCATCTATTTGTTGACTAGAAGTGATCTCTCTTTCCCTGTCAACCTGCTGAGCCCTCAAGTTTTCTCCTAGGAGGAGGAATGCTAAGAGCAGTAAGATCATCTTCGCAATCTCGAACATAACTGAGGAAACGGCTACTCAAGAATCCATGAGCCAAGGCCGCAGGTCAGTGTGACGAAGAACAATGATTGCCGAGAAGGGCATTTTTCCTTTCACTATCATCTGGCACCATGTCAAGCGTGACCCGCCCATGTTGCTCAACATCCAAGTCCACTGCGTTGCTTTCTTACGCTGAATATCCGCTATAGGCCTCCCCTCCCACCCATACTTGCAACGACAAGCAGCGGAACGAATAACCTCAGGGTTGCTTACGCTTAATTCTAATGTTGCATTACTAGTAGAATTCAAGGAACGGACAAGAAGAATGTTACTGACGCATTTGAGGAAGCTTGTTAAAACCAACTGCTGTAAAAGTAAATGAAGTTTCTGCATTATGAAATTCATAACATTATCTTTTTTTTTTTTTCTTCCAGACATCAAGGCGTTTCATTAGATTAGTTATTACCGCAAAACACGTAAGGGTTATCTGCCATAAGACTTCATAGAGGACTTTCTAAAGGAAATTTGTCCAACCACAGAACCCACGGAAACTTTCTATGTAACTAACCTGTTCAATCACCATTCATAAAATCTGGGTGTAGGGTTCATTGGTCTTAATTTTTGGACATTGACATCAAGAAGTAATTGGCATAACCATATTTAATCATTCCGTTCTGATCAAAATCTTCGGAATCTGTTATTTTCCCTTTGTTAAAATAAATGTTGTTTTGTTAAAATAAAATCCTTTTGTTAAAATAAATCCCTTTGTTAAAATAAAAGCAATAAACTGCTAAATTAAAAGAAACAAAAAATTATATGGTAGATTTATATTTCCAAGCCCCTTCAATCCACGTGGCATATATAAGATAATTTTCTATGCTTAAATGAAAAATCTGCTTTTATGTGGATAAAGCATATTAGGGACATCTGCCTAAAGGAAGAAATAAATCCATGGTGAAGGACTTTCCAAGAAACACTGGCGCGTATTCACCTCACACATGGCGAAATCCACGAAAACTCCCACGCACCCAAGACCGTTCGACGTGATAGAAATCCGCTTCGAATTACTAGTGCTCAATAGTCTTATTCCATCGGCTGTCAGTTTACCATCCTAAATGTACAAAGGCCTCACCAGTAGTCGAGTGGTACCGAGTGGTAAGACATATAAGTCCCCTGAATACTGGGAGTTCGACCCGGGCTTTATACCAGGAGAAAGAGCTGGCTCCATGGTTGGTTTTTATTGTTTTTTCATATGTGTAACGCAAAACGAGCAAGTTTCTTTTAAAAGTCCTCAGCGAAGGCATCTTATCTCTTAGACAGATAGCTCTCATGTGCTTTGCTACATTCAACTAACTTAACCTAACCTTAAACGGAGAAATGTGTTTCCGAGATAACCACATCGATTAAAGGAAATTATTGAATTGAAGCGCATAAAGAAATTAGTATTCATTGCTTTAAAGTTTTATACGAGAAGGCAAACATGTACGCACTTTTCTGAAACAGTAACAGTAAAACCAGTTTTCCTTTTTTTAATGTTGATAAGAAACTTATAAAAGTGTGTAAATTTAGTCTCAGTGTAAATTTTGTAACAGCGCATTTCTCAGTTCTAATTAATTATAATTTTTTATTTCTAATTTCTTTCATTTGACTACTGTTATGAAATGCCCAGTTGCGGTAAGATAGCTTCCCCGCAAAGCAATGTAATATAATATAATATACGAATTGAGTTCATTAGTAGTGACCTGAGTTCAAAGATTAGCTTGAGAGCGATCGAACGAGTCAGGAGGTGTATTTTAGTGGTTGTAGGAAAAAATATCCCCCCGAAAATAAGGAACGGAAAGAAGGGCACCGGAAATTAGGAAACGGAAAATAAGTTACCCTTCGTTTGCAATGGGATATATAAAGCATGTTTAGAAAGATTGCCAAGCTGGGTGATAAAATTTTTATCTCAACAACCGTAACTTCGGATTACCGGGAACATGTGCGAGTAGAAGCAAGAAGATTTGTTAGGGTTTAGTGGGGTAAGCTTTTGCGATGGAAGCCAGCGGGGTTGTCCAGCATCTGTCATTGTCAGGTCATTAGTAATTGCTCTCCTCGCACCGCATGTAGTTACAACCTTTTAAGCTGCGGTTTAGTGAAACATTGATTGACGCATAATAGAAAACGAATTCATCTGAGCTTTGATATAAGAAACAGTTGTAGATGCAATTTCAAGTTACGGTTGGAGATAAGAATAGTACTAAATTTTTTTAGCTAATTAATTTTTGCATATTTTTTTCTCATTTGATTTTAATTAAAAGTAACATATCTGCACATGAAACAATTGTTTAATTTTGCACTTAAGTTTGAAAACAAGAATATCACAGTTATTAAAAATTAAGGGGTGTTAGAACCCCAAAATCTTCAAAAAATTGTGATTTCGGATTTTTGCATTTTCAAATTCTCTACACTTTTATCTTTCTAAAAATACCATTCTTTAATCTCTATGAAAGTTAGAACTGTAAAAAAATCTAGTTTTAATTTGTCATCTACTGCTTTGATCAATGAGGATTTTACATAAAAACGCGTTTTTCTCCAAACGTGATTTTTTTACACTCGATGTATCTTTTCTCAGGAACTACTGCTCACAGGTATCTAAACTTTTTATGGCTTATTTATTAGGTTTCCTAATATTTACTTAATTTAGCTTTTTGTAATATAGTTAGAAAAAACTTTTTTTTTTTTTTTTTTTTTTTTTTTTTTTTTTTTTTTTGTGTGTGTGTGTGTGTGAGAAAAGTGCTAAATTTTACTATGCCTAACAAAATATTCTGTAATTTACTCTAAAATTCAAAATGCTTCAAACGCTCATTTCAGTATAATCAGATAGGTATACTTTAATTACTGAAAAAATTTCAAGCTTGTATCTACAGCAGATTTTGAGAAAAGGTACATCGAAAATGGCCAATTTAACATTGTCGGTATAGGGGTTTCTGATACCCTTTAAGAGTTTAATTTTATTTCAAAATTATTAGTCCAAAGGGGCTTTGTCCCTGAGGTACTATTGTTTTCATTTTGCGATTTTGCGTCGAATCACTCGGAATGTCCGTTTCACTTTTCAAACTGTTGCCACCAAATATTATCGCCCTGTATTTGACGAAATTAAATAATGAAGAATCTGCATAAATGTATGCATGTTTCTCGCATTGTGATAAAACAACGGTACCTAGAGCCATCCAATTTTGAATGCCGTAATCTTACTGCGAATATGGGTAACTGGAAGCCGAAATTTGAAATTTGTTTTATTATAGATTTCATATTTTATAAAACTTGAATGAATTTTTGACTAACAAACTCAAGAATGAATTCCAAAGCGAGCAGTGGCAACGTTGTACAGAAAAAAACATTTTTATCTCCAGCGCGTGAGACTGTCTATCGGAAATTTTAAAAAATATGCTCAATTTAAAATTATTTTGCGATACTGCTCTTGAATTGAATTTTATGGTTTAATTGCGAAGAACATGATATTTAATAAATAAAAGTAACTAACAAAATGTTTAGAAAACGCTCCTTTGGACGTAATTTAAAATCTGAAACCTTTCAGATTTTTTATTTTATTAAAATTTTAAAATCTAACTAAAATGGATCCTATAACCACGTGGTATTTATTTAAACATTTAATGTACAATGAACTCTTTTATGGTGACCTCTTCCAAAGGAATTTCCCAGAGTAGAAATGAACACTTGTGCCGGGTATTATCTCTTTAAGACGACCACTTTCACCAAAGAGCAAAATAATTAGAAATGTAGATGATCATCTTAGAGAGGGTTTAATACTTGCGTTGAACATCATCTTTCTAGGGTGATCACCTCCAAGAATACCAAAAATCAACTAGAAACATGGATGGATTAGAATTATTCAATTACAGCAAAGCACACGAGGGCTATCTACCTAAAGGGAGGGATGTCTTCGTGGAGGGCTTTGTAAGAGAAACTTGCTCGTATACACATAATGTATACATAGTGTATACACATAACACTTGGAGAAAACCACGAAAATGCCCATGCAGCCAGCCCGTTCGGGGATTCGAACCTCGGACCGAACTACCAGTGTTCAGGTACCAGTTACAAGGAAATTTTCGTGGTTTTCTCTATGTTTAACATAAATACGAGTCAGTTTTTATCAGACGTATGAAATAATTTTTGTATCAACTCCACGCTATAAACAGTCCTCCATGAAGGCATCCATATTCCTTTCAGCAGATAATCTTATGGTACTTTGCCATAACCTAAATAATTTGATTTGATGATCTTTTCTCATACTGAAGCCTGTGATGCTTTAATTAATGTTTTATTTATCATAAACTGTGTTAACTGCTTTAAATAAACCAAATCAGCATTTTTTCTGTTAGATTTCCTTTTTTTTTTTTTTTTTTTTTTTTTTTTGAATTTTTGACATCATTTTAGAAGCCTAAATATGTCAGATCGTTTTAGTAAGACATATTATTTGTAACTGTTTTACATATAAGTACAGAGAATCTCATGACGGCGAACTCTAAAAGTGTTTCCTATAACATAAATAAACAGGCTTTTGTAGATTTGCCTTTCTAATGCAACCATCTATTAAGTGGCCTAAATCACTTCAAGCCGTTAATGATCGCATTAAAAGTCTCATTATATTTGCATTTTTGTGGCATTTAATAATTTCAGCTACATGTCTGCCTTATAAATTATAATATTGATTTTTCATGGTCGTGTAACAACTTTCAATATAAATTAGAATAGTAATAATCTTTTACATTCCATTCGGATTATTATATTCATATGAAAGCCTTTATTCAATTGTTGATCATTATTTTGTACGTATGTTATTGCAAAAATTCAAAATTCTTAATTATGATAATTTCCAATATTCGGGCTTTAAATGCCAGTTATTTAATTTTATGCCAAGATTTAAACTTTGTGCATTTAGAATGAGAATGTAGGCTTTTCCTTATTTTGCGTAACAAATTTATTTTAAGTTTTCCTGTTCTCAACTTCCCCTCACATTCTCTCGCCAGGATGTAAGTTTAAATTTAAGTGAAGTGCTATTTAAACGTGGGATTTTCTCAGTCTATTCACAGCGTGTTTCACTAGCCAAGCGCACGTTTCGTTGTTATTTCGCGGTCA